ACTACGATTGAACGAGCAATTCAATAGCGTCCAATATCAAGTCGCATCGCGCAGCGAATGTGAAATTGTATACATGGAATTTTCTCCAACGTTATTTGTATTTTATATAAATTAATCCTATTTTACGTATTCTTCGATAAAAGCAATAACAATGGAAAAATTTGTTTATTTATTCAACGATAAGGTTCCGTCAACGAATTCCTCTAAACACGTACGTTTTCACATTTCGATGCTTTTGCTGTGATGCTCATTTCTCTATTTCTCATTTCTTCACCGACATTTTCCTACAAATAATTTTGCATGCATGATTCGTCGCAACATGAATAAAAGTAGATCGTTATGGTCAAAGAACTCGAGGAACAGCTGCTTTTACGCATCATTTACGGCACCCGCTGCCGTTATTCTGAGATGACACCTCTTCCAGGTACAATCACACCACTGAAAGAGAGAAATGCGTGAAACCTTGTGTCACGCGATCTTCTAAAAATAAGGAAATGAATACTCTTGGAGTGGCACGCGCTATAATGTCCCCTTTCCTTTTATAGTTGACTTTTCAAGAGTACAAGAAGAATGCGCTCTGTGCATCAATCTTCCGTCTCTCTCACTTTTAAGTCTGTTTATACTGATGTTTATACTCAAGCGAATTTTTTGTTAATATACTGAAAAATTTAATAAATGCACATGATTCATCCCCTTTCCACACTCACTGATTCATTTAAAATTAAGCAATCTTAATAACATAAGAATAGATGTTTTTTTTTGACATTAAAAAAATTGACAGTATCTTAATAAATATTTTTTGAAATATTCGCAAGTAGACAATTTACTTTCTCAATGAAAAAAAAAAGATAGTTAAATCAAATTAATGATCCTTGTATCAAATAAATATATGTTAATATCCAATAAATGTGTTTACTTACAAATATTTAAAGAAACATTTATTACTATAATTGCAATAAATATTTTTCAGTGTATACATTAACTCGAATAGATTAATTCGAGCTAACAATCCCTTGACGGATTTTCTTTCGCATACTGTCGGAAAAAATTCGATCGATACTCTTCGTTAAATCGAACAGTCGAGGTATTCGCCCGAATACAGAGATTGTTACAAAAATCTATTCAACTATACGAATTCATTATATAATATCTGCGGACAATTTAATTTCCGTCGTGGACGTATGTGTGAGTGTATGTGTGCGTGATGAATTCCATTTCGGCATTGTCGCTGAACCGAGCTGCATTTTGACAGTCTGAAGAAGAACGAGAGGATAAGACGGACTTTTCGGGAGCAATCTCGAGAGGGGCGATGCGAGTCGGGGGTTACTGGAACAGAAGTGGGACACTCGCGGCGAAAGGGGTTGGCCCTCGCGTACTGTGACAACGGTAAAACAACTCAAAACGACGTCGTCGTCGGACTTGGCTTCCGGCCATTTCCCGGCTATCGATCCATGAAGCGTTACGACGAAGCTGCTTCATGTGCAATTATAGGTGTATCGTGTGTATATAACACGCATCGGCAACCGGGCGCGTTATCCTCGTCCCGCAAGAATGATCCACGAAATTTGTGCCCAAATAAGGCTGATTCTTCATTGATTATACGAGGAGGAAACGGTCCGCGATCGAACTAACTTATCAGTAGAATTATCTTGTCTGTAATTTGAATTTAATATTAAATTAAATCGTTCAATCGAATCTTATTATATTCAATCATAACGATTTCTGAGAAGTAACATTGTAAACTAATTACAATCCAATAATTGACAGCCGAAATTTCTTTTCGAACATTTTATGTTCTTTTGTTTATTTATTTATTTATTTTTTGTATTTATAATAATGATAACATAATGTTGTCGATGTATTATAAATCTCTATAACATTGACATTAACATGCGGTATATTAATATATCGCTGACCGCGCATGGAAAAGAAACGCCAGGCTATTCTTGGCGCGAGATAAATCGGTGTGAACGACTCCAGGTGCATACACCGAGGAAACCCCTCGCAATCGTTCACAAACCCATAGCCGGTGAACAGTCGCACACGTATACAGTCGGAAGCGACCCAAATGCGAGTACAAACGTAGATTAATAATGCCGTTGCGATAATGAAATTGTTCACGTGACACGTGAAATTTGCGGTCACGTTCTCTGCGCGATATACCCATCGACCCAGAAATCGATCCGGAAATCTTCCCAATGTAAACCGACGAATACTCTTTTTACGTACTATTCTTATAATCAAAAGCGAATTCGTGCAGCGTTCGAAAGAGAAACAGAGAGAGAGAGAGAGAGAGAGAGAGAGAGAGAGAGAGAGAGAGAGAGAGAGAGAATATAGGCATTGTGGGAACACGAGGAGCCAGATTTGCTGTCAACGTCGTCGTCGTAATTGCGTTTCAGGTGTAAGGAACACGGTGAGAGTCCGCCCTACATGAGTACGACACGAGCGTACGTTTCCACGTATGCGTGAAATCGATAACTGGGAATTAGTCTGCCCGGCTGTCTCCCAGAACTAAATGCGAGCGTACGGCGGGAGAAAAATTTAGTCGATCGCCCTTGGGAACCGATGTACTCGCGCGAGTTCTGTTTATTATTGCTGTTTTTCGAACAGATCGAAAGATTAATATCAAAATTTAATTTCACTCGCAATGACTTTTTTTATAAAATATAAAAAAGGTAATTTTATATAACGTTTTTTTCATTATAGATTATTGTCATTAATAGCGGGAAAAACTTACGAGACGTATAATAAGTAATAATTCAAATAGTAATAAATAATACACTGAGAATTGATGTGAGAAATATTCTCAAGAGAAAGGATATAAATTATCAATGACGAAAAAAAAAAAGACGAATATAATGAATCGATAAATGATTAAGTAATATCTGTTAAAAAGATTAAGTATACAAAGATATTAATTTTAGATGGACATTTTAGATAAATTAAAATGCACGTCAAATTAAAAATGAATGACAGAAAAATTAATTCAATTGCTTGCTTTTCTGCATCTTCTAACAAGTCTCCAATCGAGAATTTAACACAATGAAATATTTAAAACCTATATTTTCTTAACTGAAATAGAGACTAGATATATCACAGGTTTTTCAATTAATTTTTAATTTTTAATTTTTAATAAAAAGAAAAATAACAATATTTCTGAAAAATATCACAATGACAATTTACAGCTTTTTATTTGAATTTTTTTTCAAAACAAAATTTTAATTTATCAATGTTCAGTTTATTTCAAATATTGAGTTAATTATGAGGAATCGTTTCATTCTGAAATTATTTTCATAAAGGCACATATATGCACAAAAAAGGGTCTTTTATTTGCACAACTAATCCATCAAATATTCTAAAGTAATTAAAATAAATGAGAAGCAGTCTCGAATAATTTTTGTAGCTAATGGCTCATCGGCTATCATATATCGCACATTTTCTTTTCTCTTTTTTTACCTTAATATGTCATACATGTTCCCGGAGATATTGTCCCATGATGGACATACATGTAAGAAATACTAGCCAGTCACGAAAGGGGCAAAGTAAACGCGCGGCAGAATAAACGAAAATCTACCCGTACGAGAAACTAGAGAGAAAGAGAGAGGAAAAGAGATGGAGAAAATATCACTATAGACGGTACGGAGGATCAATACGTCACGAACACGATCACAACTATTCGTGCATACACGCGAGACTATCCCTGCCCCTTTCAGTCCATACTCTGAGATAATTCTTCTGCACATTAATCATAATTACTTGTATATCACTGAACGAGTCGACTTGCTTCAGACAGCGCATCAACGTATATAAGATTATAAATATATTATATTTGTTGCTCGATACTCAAAACAGATCAGAAATCTCTTTTTTTCAAATTTATTTTAAGGTTTATTTATTCGTGATTTTTATTACACTTTTGGTCCAATAGAGATTTCTCACATTGTGCGAAGACATAAGTTATAAACAAAAACCTCTTATTAAACAGATACTTTCTTCTTTATTGATATCTAGAGAGGTAGAATTCTTAAACTACTTTGTTATCTTAGTTTTTAAACATCTTTTTGTTTGTTATCAAAATTGTGAGAAATTGTTTTCGTCCTAATTATGTGAATTAATTTTAAAGAAATTACATATATGCGGGCTATTATCTGTTGTTTTTATTTTTTTATTACGAAAATCCTGCTTTTAATCGTATTACTTAAAAATTGATTTTCTAGTAAAAGAATATTGAGTGTCCCTAAACAAATTCCAGCATTAAATCACAATAATCTTGTAAAATATCATAAGAATTGGTATAAATAATCTTGTAATAAAATTATTCTGATATATAAAATAGAAAAAACTGGAAGCACATGTATGAATAAATATAATTGTTATCTTCACACAATTATATAAAACATACAATTAGAAATATAAAAACACAAATGCATCTATAAAAAATATTCTTATCGACTAAATTAGTGAATGTCCATTTATCATATAATGATATTCTGGTTTACTTTCTATTTCTTGAAAATATTAATTTTTTATTCGGAAATGGATAAGTATTTTTATAAATATATTTCAAAAATTATTTTTTTTTCAAATTCTTTTTAATATTTGACCCTCTTGTTGAAAAAATGAAAATAGTAGTAGTAATAATAATAATAATAATAAGACAAGCTGAAAACAGCTTCCAAGATTAGATTTATTTCCTTATGATGTTCACTAATTACTTAAGAGTATGATAACATCCTAGCTTGATAACATCCCACAAGAGCAGTATACAAAAGATGTTCGCTTTTATTTCTTTTAAATCCCCAAGCTAATAAACCATTTGACACGGAGATGTCTCTTACATATTATTATGAAAAAATAATATATATTTTATAAAGT